AGACAGGCGCCTACAAACATTCGTGGTCACCTGGGGGCTGGTTTTATTGGCCATCAGTCGCAACTGCCCGAGCTGGACACCTAGCAGGGTGGGAAGCTCCGGGGAGCGTCTCCCCATCACATGACTCTGGGAGCTGAAGCTTGAAAGACCAAAAGACCCAAGATCGGAAGAATCGTGGTTAAAACAAGGAGTCTCGGAGCAGTTTGGCGGGTTTGAAATGAGCTCCAAGAGCCGACTATGAAAATCACCCAGGGTCTCAGAGAGATGACAGGCCGGGCAGGACAGTGAGATCAGGAATCTGACGGCCTGGCGCTCACAGCTAGACCATTTCTAGGTGTCACAGGTGAATGCCACTGTCCGGAGGATAATAGTTCAGTTAACACCAGGCCAGGCCTCAAACGCTGTCCTCTGGGTGGCCAGTGACTCGCTAGCGTTGTCGTTAACAATAGCAGCTATTGGAGTATTTGGGGAATATTTTTCATCATTGCTCTTTAACTACTGAAATGTGCTAGTTTCTAATAAAAAGAACAGGAGGACTTGTGGCACCTTAGAGACTAACAAATTTATTTGAGCATAAGCTTTCGTGGGCTACAGCCCACTTCTTCGGATGCTGCTCTGAAACCTAGTTTCTAATGGTTCTCAGACGGGCTGAGCTGGGAATATGATGTTCACGGACTGGTTTAGTGGTGGCCCTTGGAGAGCCTGGGAATATTATGGGAATAGTGACGATCGAATTATTGGAAAGTTTAGTTCAGGGGTTCTCAAACGGGGGGTCGGGACCCCTCAGGGGGTCGCGAGGTAATTACATGCGGAGTCGCGAGCCGGCAACCTTCACCCCAAACCCCACTTTGCCTCCAGCATTTATAATGGGGTTAAATAGATACAAAAGTGTTTTTAATGTATAAGGGGGGTCGCACTCAGGGGCTTGCTATGTGAAAGGGGTCACCGGGACAAAAGTTTTGAGAGCCACTGGTTTAGTTAGTTGAAGCTTTAAAATGTTACCACTTTAAACCCGCTCCCCCAACTGGATGCATTTTGTAACGTCCCTTTGTGGAAAAGGGGTTAAACGGGCAGCCAGGACTCCTGGGTTCTATCCCCACGCTGGGAGGGAGTGGGGTGTAGTGGTTAGGGCTGGGAGCCAGGACTCCTGGGTTCTATCCCCAGGCTGGGAGGGAGTGGGGTGTAGTGGTTAGGGCTGGCAGCCAGGACTCCTGGGTTCTATCCCCAGGCTGGGAGGGAGTGGGGTGTAGTGATTAGGGCTGGGAGTCAGGACTCCTGGATTCTGTTCCCAGCTCTGGGAAGGTGAGTGGGGTCACCTGGGGGTTCGAGTAAGAAGCTGGGAGCTGTGAATAGGAGTGTTGGCTCCCAGCTGCCATGTGCCCCCCTCCTACCTCCCCTCCCCGAACTGGGAACGGAGCCCAGCTCTGGAAGTCTGCTCTAGACCTCAGAGCGGGGTGACTGGAGGCTGGGTTCCCTGCGTTCCCCTAACTAAACCATTGGAGGTGCCTTTTAATAGTCACGCAGCTGAGGCTGGGATGACACGGGAGATAAGAGCACAGACTTGCTGCCTCACTTGTATTTTCCCCAGCCCGTTTTCATGCCACTGGCCTGCCTCGGTTGCTCTCTGCCGGGTATTCACCCACGGTCTCCATTGCAGTTAGAGTCCCGAGCTCAGAGGCAGCTGGAATCTCCCAGCCTAGGAAAACCACCCGCCCCAGTTGCCTGACCCCAAATGTTGACAGAGGGGCGTTAAGAAGGCAAAAGTGCTGCTCTCCCCTCACATTCCCTTGGCTCAATCTTGCCTCTGCGGTTTTCTCCGTCTCTCGTCGGCCCTGTCTTAACCCAAACCCGCCGATAACAGTGGTGGCTTTTTCAGGGCCAACTTGGCTCAAAATAGGGCCTGGCCTTAAAGTCTCCATCAGCGAAAGGCCAGGCAAATGTGGAATTTCTTTCTGCAAAGGGCTTTCAAATCTTGGGGGGAGAGCGGGGGGGCAAAGCAGTCTGGGAACATTTATAATGAATTAGCCGAAACGGGGCCGGGTCTGAGAGACTGGTGGGAATGGAGAGATTTGCCATGGGCTGAGTTTCTTCTTTCTTTTCTTTTCTCCCCAATTTGGGGGAAACATCTGGGGGGGAGGGGGAATTTACGAGGTGGGAATGTTGGCTCTGAGTTTACGGGGGGATGGGGGGGTCTCTTTCACTGAGGACTGGTTAACATGCCGTGACCTACTAGTGGGTTATATGAAGACCCAGCGACTCCACATCCCTCCTTGGGCAGCGCCCCTTCCATCCCCCGCTATGTCAGGGACTCCCTGCCCCCCATGCCTGGTGCTCTGTGCCCCTTCCCCCAGGCCTGGCTGTGTGCTCCTCCATTATCCACTTCCACCCTTATTGGGGTCCACATTCTGCCCTGCCCTCACGCCAGGGTTCTCCGTGCTCCCCTGTTCCCTCCTTATTTGGAGTACGGGAGCCCCAGTCCCGGCCCAGGACCGCCCCGTGCCAGGCGCTGTACAGATAGTGCCAACAGACAGGGTGTGCGGGGCTACACCTGGCGTGCAGGTGGGTAGCACCCGACTTCCCCTCCCAAAGCGAGGAGGAGGGACGGCCCCCCCCGGTCCTGCCCCAGTGCACGGGGAGGCCCCCGTGACCTCCTGACGTCCCTTCCGGCCTTTCCCGTCTCTGATTTCTCTGACCCCGTGGCTGGCGCTGTCCGCGTGTCTCTGCAGGGCCCGTGTCCCCCTCGCCGCCCCGCCATGACTGTCACCTACACGGCCCGCGTGGCCAACGCCCGTTTCGGGGGCTTCTACAAACTGCTACTGCTCTGGCGTGGGAGTATCTACAAGCTGCTGTACAAGGAGTTCCTGGCCTTCTTCGTCACCTACTTGGGGCTCAGCCTGACCTACCGGTGAGGGGGGGCCCTTTGCACGCGCGTGTGCCCCTGGGCCTGTGCACGGCTGCGGTGAGCGTGCCCCTTGCACACGTGCTTGTGGCTCTTTGCACGCGGGTGGGGGGGAGAACATGCCCCCGGCCCCTCGCACGTCTGCGTGCCTGGGCTCTCATGGGGGGGGGGAGGGGCGTGCAGCACTTTGCACGCGTGTGTGGACGCCCCATCCCCGTGCACGGTCTGGGTGGAAAACCCCCGAGCAAGGCACCAACCTCCTTGCATTTCTCTCCCCCCCCTCCCGCCCCGGCCCGATTCCCACCCGCAGCTTCGTCCTGGCCGAGGATCAGAAACGCTACTTTGAGAAACTGGTGATTTACTGCGACAACTACGCCAACCTGATCCCCGTCTCCTTCGTGTTGGGTAAGAGCCGGGACCCCCCACATTCCCCGCCCAGCCCCTCGTGTGAGGGACGTGTCCTCTCCGAGGGCGGGCAGGCCCTATAGGATGTATGGGCCCCACTGGCTCGCCCCCTGGGGGGCAGAATGCCCCTCTGGGCTGTTTGAAGCACCATGAGGGGGCGATGGGGGGGCTTGGGCTGTGGGTGTGGGTTCAGCTCTCCCACCAGGGCAGGACCAGCCCTGGGTTCGAATCCCGCTAGGCCGCTCAAGCCAGGGGGAATGGGGTGAGAACGAGCGACTCCTCCCAGCCCCACTGGACCCCACTGACCTGCCTGGGTTTGGGGCTTGTTTTCTGTCCCCCCGCCGGGCAGGGCTGGGGTCCAGGACGCCGGGGTTCTGTGGCCGGCTCGGTCCCTGACTCCTGTGTTTGTCCCTTTGCCCGCAGGCTTCTACGTCACGCTGGTAGTGAACCGGTGGTGGAGCCAGTACAGCTGCATGCCCATGCCCGACCGCCTGATGTGCGCCATCTCCGGCTCCGTGCACGGCGGGGACGAGCGAGGCCGGCTCTACCGCCGCACCCTGATGCGCTACAGCAGCCTCTCGGCCGTGCTCATCCTGCGCTCCGTCAGCACCGCCGTCTTCAAGCGCTTCCCCACCATCGACCACGTGGTGGAGGCAGGTAGGTGCCGGGGGGCGCTGGGCTGCAGGGAGCGGGGCGGGGGCTCAGCAGGGGGCGCTCTGCCCTCCCAGTCAGGGCTGGCCCCAGGGGGCACTAGGGGGCGCTGGGC